TCCAGCAACCAAGTAACCAATCACTTGACCTCAGTAACCGATCACCTGATCTCCACCTTCACACAAAAGACTAGCTAATATACACCAAAGGGCATTGGAGCAATAATTTTCAGTAGACGTTCAATTTCTCTGTCTTAAAGAGAATATGAACAATAATAGTTCAATGGTATGGATCAACTAAGCATTGAAATGTTTATCACGACTTATTGCACGGTAAAATTACAAACGGCAGTGCTTGACATAAAACAGTAATTTTATAAGATTTAAATTATTGATTATTTTCTGCATCTTTTGTCTAGTAATCCATTGTCAAATAAATAATTAAATCTCACTAACATCGTCCCGTACCTCCTGTAAACATTCCAATGTAACATACTGGAATATACATGCACGTCTTATGTAGTTTTAAAGGGCCATACGCAGCAACTAATTTAACCTGCTTATTCCATGTATGTGGCATGATGCCAGTTGCAATGTACAACATGTATAACATCATGGATGTGTGCGTAGAGCAAATTTTCAGGATATTCATAGACATGATATCTATGTATGTCAATGCACCAAGGAATGGACACAGGTCAAAAGTTCCAGCATATGTCCCCTTAACTTGCAATAATATAATAAAATTTACAAGCATTATCATTACAACCATTTATGTACAAAAAAAAATAGTTCACTAAAACTAAAACGAGAGTTATATATGTACATGAATTACTATTCCATAGTGTGCATAATGTATACCCTAAATCTGCAGCTGTAGGCCTGTATTGTGTTGTAACATTGACAATACCTGCTTCAGTTCGTCATACTGGTTCTTTGAATAGTTTATCAGTTGAGTCACCTGTAGGGAACAAAATATTGGTGTTAAATTATTATCATTTGCTAAACCAATTCAGAATGTTTACCCCATCCAATAAGAAGAGAGGGGTAACCATGTACTTTACAAATATTGAGTGTTTTTTGTTGCTTCGCTCAAAGCTTTTTACACCATACTGTAATGCTTCATTTATTATAATGTTGAAATCTACACCACTGTGTGAAACCAATCTACGGCTACAAAGCCAGAAACATCATTACCTTTTGTGCAATTTCACTGGAATCACATCTGACTTGAGGTCTCTTCTGTTGTGCATGATACGGCGCACCTATACCCATTTCACTATCTGCTTTCATCGTTAATTCAATGTAGTCTTTACCATCTGTAAATCAACATAACCTGATAATTACCTTTCAGAACGATTGAAAACCACTCGCCTTAAGCCAAAATTACACCTTTATTTATCGATCTGAGCAAAACATGCATGCAAAAGTTTGGGTATTAATCAATGTACACTGAAATGGCAGTTATTTTGTCATGCCAGAGTAGTCTTAAATTAACCATTTGCAGCAGTATTTAAATATGCATTGCTGATAATGTAAACAAGTTTTTTTTATGTTCACTGCTGAGAGGGTGATTACAGCTCATGTCGAGCATTTAGAGATGCCAATCCTGGTTCTCTAATCGGACGATGATCAGTTTGTTTCCACACATTTACACACACATTTTGCCATGTTGCAGTGCAGTCTTGGCGCTCATCATGTGCAGCAATCTTCAAGGTGAAAACAGCAGATAATTTTGTTTGTTGATTTTTGACTTTTAGAAACCCATCCCACATCAACATGTGGCCCATGGCACCATGGTTTTGATTTTCACATGTACTCGCAAGTGCAGCATTTATGCGTCTCGTCAAAGTGATTTCAAATCTTCATGAGGTGCTATTTACATGTAGAAACAATACTGTAGAATACTTTATTTTTATTTGGAATTCATTTTCGCTGAAGGAATGTTTCAGTGAAAATAAAATCCAATCCATACAAAACGCCTAAAAAAGTGTTTTCAGCGAAAATTAATTCCAGCCAAAATAAAGTATTTTACAGTATGTACTATATACCTTTCTGCATATGCTGTGCCCCATATAAATCAGAATATAGAACAACCAAGACAATTTCCGTAAGTTCAATATTGCTTGGGTCTCCTCCAAGAAAGTAAACCTTCTCTGAGCTGACCAGTGCACATAGATTGCCACCATCTTTGTTGTCTCTGTCAACTCGTAACTGTTCCAATGCTATAAACCTGTAAACAAACAACCACATAATGCATTTTGTACACCATAATGCTATTTCAAACTTGTGAACACTGTGCTAACATTTAAAACACCATAACTTTTTCTGATATAAAGTTATTCTTTTGGTATAGTTGGTATTTTTATGAAATTTCTTCAAAGTAGAAGCCTACTCATTAATGCAAATACCCTGAGATTTTGCAGTGAATTGTACTCCAGGGCAATATAAGGATATTGACTTAAAGTTAGGGGTCATCTGCTTAATTTTCAAGAAAATGATGGTTGTATTTTAGTGAATAGTTGCCGTTTTGGCAGTATTATAATGCTTTTCCCATAAGGTTCCAAAATCAGAGATATTATGCCATATCAGATGACATAATCAATATTTCAAACATAAACTGTAAAAAATGAGGGAACATATCATTTTGGTTATTAATCATTGTCAAAAAATGAATAAGATTACATCAAATTTTCCTTTTTCCAGTGTGGTTGTTATTCTATTGTATGTACCTTTCAGTTAGATCGCCATCATTCAGATGTAGCAATTTCACCTGTGCTTCAGCCGCGTTTTCACTATATTTCGTCAACATACCACCAGGACCAATACAACAACGTGGTTTACGAACACGAGATGGTTGCACCTGAGCCAATTTGCTGGAATCTCTGACAGCAGCAGCAGCACTAGCGGCCAAATCCAAGACTCCAGCGGCAGGTTTAGTTACGGTCCCTACAACACCTTTACTAAGACCTTTTAAGAAGCCCTGTAAAATAATATAAGATTATTGTGAGAATATTGCATGAAGGCAGTACAATGTGATCCTGTACCACCTGAACACATACTTTCTGGTATTTTCTTGATAACCTTATTTATTATACATCTTTTTACTGCTTGTAGTATTGATCATTTACTGTGACATACTTTATTTTAGCTCGATTTAATTTTCGCTGGAAAGACTGTGTTTTGTATGGAATTTATTTTCACTGATTTTTTAGCAAATTGAATGTAAAATATGGGAAAAAAGGTATATTCACTGGATTTTATTTTCATTGAATCACTTCTTCAGCGAAAATTAATCCCAAGCGAAAATAAAGTATTTCACAGTAATGACAAATTACAGCCTGAACTTCCAAGGAAAAAACATTTTGCATTATGCGAGCATTCAGTGATAGGACTCAAATTATGTCATGAACGTGCTATAGTGCTTCTGAAGACAAAAAACAAATTTGAATACAATGTCCATAGCCTGGATTGAATGTTTTAATGAATGCAAAATGTAGAACGTTACATTTCATTGTTTTCAGTACTAGATGTATAAAAAATATTCTATGAAAATGCTGCATTGCATATTAAAAAATTATGCTCAATGCTTGAGTTAGCATGGAAGTCTTAATTCAGTGAAAAGCACCATAGATGCTGAATTTCGTAAACAACCAAGGTATTTTAATCATGATGTATATGTCAAACAAGACTTGTATCGATGACAGTAATATAGCCTAAGTCACTTACTTCCACACCGTCCTGGGATGCGCCATCATACGTCTGTGTAAACACACTAGTCAACCCACCGACAATGCCAAAGCCAAGTCCTTTCAATCCGGCTACAATGTGATCTTTACTACTACCACTATGCGATGAACGAATCGTCTCCCGGATGTCTTGATGTCTACTGTCCATTGCTATGGTTCCGATACCATCTGACAGGGAACCAGTCATCTGATAAGACAAGCAATAGAATTATAAACATATATGCAAGAAATTTTGTATTCGCTCTCTTAAAGTTTCAATGATAAAAAAATAAATGATTTTGTAGGTTTTATAGTGTGCTTTTATGTAGAAATTAGGGTAACACATGTACAACAAGCTTCTAAATGTATGAAAGAATAGACTATTTTATGTTCAGTGCGAGATCCTGCACTATGCGTGAAACCAAACGTAAAAACAGGACAAACAAAGGTCATAGCACCGTAGTGGCGTCAAACATCGCGTGGGATTCGGCAAACGCGAAAGTATTTTGGAGGATATTTTCGTGCTTAATAATGTGCTGTACAATTTCGATGATGGTCAATGTCGATGAAGTGAGAGTATCTAAACACAATATTCTTTCATCTTTGAGCTATAAAAAAAGAAATCCATAGTTCAAAAACAAGTCGTTTGATTTTTGCAGCAGATGTTCGGCCCTCGTCTTTCACGCAATACGTGAACGGAAAATCACGTATTGGGACTCACCTTTGCAGCTGAATTTGAGACACCATGAGTGACATTTTCCACAAATCCAAATAAATTACCATGTTTGACTAATCCTGATACACCATCACGTACGTCAGTCAGCAAACCTACTGGGTTACCGAGAAAATCAAACGAACCAAGGATCTTAGCAGCTTGGCTCTTCAGTTCCTGTACACAAATGAGAGAAATGCTTGAGTACGTTATAGATACCTCACTGATATTTTAACACTAAACGTGGCAATATTATACCGTACCTGTTTGACTCAGCGCTCATGTTCGACTAAAGTTCCCATCGCCCTAAAAGACACGATTTTGTGGTAAACTCAGTTTATGTGTGCTCTAACAGTATTTGAAAAAAACTAAATAGCACAATGGTATCATTTTTTTTATCGCTGTGGATAATAATTTCAAGCAATTACCTGCATGGTGCAAGATATTCATTCTGAAAAAATATCACTAAAAAATGATTTTTTTTGCTGATAAGATGCAACTCCTTATTAGCATATTATTCATAACCGTATTTCCGTGAACTCTCTTTGACGGTAGGAGTTGATGCAGTGCAACAACCGTACATAATGATTAGCTTCAGTTAGAATATAACATCTTATGAGTACTGTACTACATTTTCAGATTCAAACACAAAATAACACTACCACTTTATGAGTCTCTCACCTCGGTATAGTGTTTCAGTATCGCAGTAACAAGAAAATCCCTCGTTTCAAAGGGATGATGTCTTTCAAACGGATCCAGATAGACGTGGGCATCTTCAAACTTAACCAATGGGATACCAAGCTTGGTTTTCAGAATCTGTAGTTCAGGTGGCAGCTTTGTTGTTAGCATACTCAGACGGATCTGCGTAGCATGCAGCTTTAACAGTTCAAAATAGTATCTAGCATTCTGCTTGTCTGCTATGAGTGCCCTGTACATAATATATAAACCAAAGATTGTGTGATGTGAATATTAATTCATAATAAGGCCAAGCCCAACAAAAAAATTGCTCAGGTAATTTGTTTGTTGTAAACTCCCAAGTACACCGAAAGGGGGGGGGGCGTATCTTGTTAAAATTCAGCGATAGTTGTAGTACCATTTGATGTTGCAAGATACTTCATAAAAAGCAATTTACCAGCTGCCTCAAAATAAAATATTCATATAATAATATTTTCACAGTATTACTATTTATTTCTTATTGTTTTTATTGTTCCTTATATCCTTATTGTTTTCTAATCTAGATCCCAGTGGGGATACGATATTGTTATTGTTACAATGATAAAAGATTCAAATTTTTATTTATTTTTTGTATAAATCATTATCGATCTAATTTAGATGTAATTTTATATACAGTTTCTAATATGCTTTGTAAATAA